AAAAAAAAAAAAAAAAAAAAGAAAAAGAAAGCAGTCATTAGAAACTCTCTGGGTAGAGCAGGGGATGTCCATATGTTGAGCTTATCAGACAAAAACTTCAAAAAAGCTATTATAAACATGTTCAAAGAATTCAAGTAAAAGATGTTGAACTAATTAAAGAAATTCAATTATCTCAATTCATTAGAGAACAATTATAAGAACAAAATGGAAATTCTGGAGTTGAAAACTACAATAACTGAAATGAAAACTTTACTAGGAAGGCTCAGATTTCAGATGGAAGAAGAAATAATCCATGAACTTGAAGATAGTTTGTCAAAGAGATTACCCAGTCTGAGAAACAGAAAGAAAAAAGAATGAAGAAAAATAATAGCGCCTCAGAGACCTGTGGAATGCCATCAAGCCAACCAATGTGCACATATGAGAGTCCCAGAAGGAAAGTTAAGATAGAATGGTAGAATAAATATTTGGATACATAATGGTTGAAAACTTCCTAAATTTGAAAAAAAAATGTTAATTTACACATCCAGGAAGCTCAATGAACTCCAAAAAGCATAAAACAAAGAGATTCATGCCTAGAAACATCACAGTCAAACTGTTGAAAGCCAAAAATAAAGAGAAAATATTGAAGGCAACAGGAGAAAAATGATTCATTACATACAGGGACCAATGATACAATTAACAGCTGACTACTCATAAGAACAATGGAGGCCAGGAGGCAGTAGTATAAAATATTCAGAATGCTGAAAGAAAAAAAATTGTCAATCAAGAATTCTAAATCCAGCAAAAGAATGTTTCAAGATAAAGATGAAATAAAGACATTGTCATATAAACAAAGACTAAGAGAATTCATTACTGGCAAACACTCCTTTCAAGAAGTATCAAAAGAAGTCCTTCAGGCTGGAAGAAAATGACAACAGACAGCAACTCAAATCCAATGAAGAAATAAAAAACAGTGTAAAATGTAGATATAGAGGTAAATCTGAAGGGCTGTATATAGATTTTTTTTCTCTTAACTGATTTTAAAAATTACAAGGTTATATAAAATAATAACTATAAGTTGTATTATTGGCTTTATAACCTATGCAGATCTATGACAAGAATATCACGAGAAGAAAGAGTAAATAGAGATATGCACGAGAACATTTCTGTATTTTACCAGAATCAAGTTAGTATTAACATGAAATAGATTGTGTTAAGATGCATGTTGTAATCCCTGGAATAAACACTAAGAAAATAACTTTTAAAATGTAGTTAAAAATACTAGCGAAGGAATTAAAATGGTACACTGGAAAATATCTGTTTAACATGAAACACTTTCAGCCTCTTAGGATTCGCATAATATCCCCATGAAAGATAAATTATTATACCTATTTTAAAGATGAAAGAACTGAGGCTCAGAGGACTTGCATGTGCTAACACATATCAGAGATGAGGTTTTTATTCAGATGTTAAACCCCTGCCTGTGATCACTATGCCGTAGTGCCTCTCAGGTTCCTTGCGAAGATTAGAAGCAGGAGATACCAAGTTCCCTATACGACTCTTAAAGCCACTGCCACCATACAGGATCAAGTGCTGAGATTTTGAACACAGAACAGAGCAAACGTGCGCACCAAGTACACGCTCACCAAAGGTCAAGGAGCCAGAGCCTGAGCTGCGGTATGAGCAGTTGGACAATAATTTTTTTCCTCCTGTTGGAGTTGAATTCTTTGTGGCCTTGAACGAAGACAGAGGTTCCATAAGCAATTTTTTTTTCATTATGAAAACATGTTTAATTTATTTCAATCTTTTAGGGTATTTCAAAAGATGAGGTTTAGTAATTTGGGTTTTTTGTGGTCCTTGGCCTTAATCTTTAAAAGGTAATCCTAAATTGAAGGAAAAAACCCTGCAGCTGTCATGTAGTAATATTTGGTGGCCTTTTTTTCTCCTGAGGTCCATCCAAGCATGGTCGGACAATGTGAGCCCTTGATCACCTGATCTCACTCACCCAAGGCCAGGTAAAGATGAGACATTTGTGTGGAGCTCTGTGAGACACATTTCTGAGAAAGAATCCTAGCCTATCAGACTCTTCTGCCATGGAAGAATGTTTTGGTCATCTAATTCTGTGTAATAAACCACACCAAAACTTCATGGTTTAAAGCAGTAACCATTTTCTTATTTTTAATGATTCGGTAGACTAGGCTTCTTGGGCTCAGTGTGGATAGTTCTTTTGATACATGTAATTTTTGGCTGGGACTGCAAACATCTGAAGGCCCAATTAGGCTGACACATCCAAGATGGTTCATTCACATAACTAGACATTGATGCTAGCTGTTGGACAGGACCTCAGCTAAGACTACGTAGCTCAGGAAGCCTCAGTTCTCCATGTGGCCTCTCCATGTATCTTGGATATCTCATAGCATGGTGGTTGGACTCTCAGAGTGTCCCAAGAGCAAATGTTCCAAGAGGCAAGAAGTAGAAACCTCCAGCTCTCTTAAGACATAGGCATAGAGGTCCTAGAATGTCACTTTTATGGCATTGTATCGGTAAAAGAAGTCACAAGGTCATCCCAGATTCAGGGGGAGAGAAAACTAGGTCCACTGTTTGATGTGAAGAGCAGCCTGGGCGTACAGAAAGAAGAGGAACCATCGGGGCCATCTCTGGAGACTAGCTACCAGCATGGAATATTCGTTCCTGAAGCCAGCTAGAGCTCTGCTCATCACCCTGCATTGCTGAGAAACGTGAGGAATCAAAGTGACTCTGCAGGATGTTTTGTACCAGGACTGTGCCAGAAGCCACATTTAGAGGGCTTGTGTGTGGGCAGAGGCCTCCCACCTTCTGAATACTTCTGCCTTGTTTCCCTGCATCCCACCAGGCAGAGGGAAGAGCACGGGTGGGCAGATGTTGGGGGAACTACATTTGGTGTATCATTTTAGAGACTCCACCATGGGAATTGGCAAGAAAAGGCATCAGCCCTAACAGCTTCCTTTCCTTGCTGCTTTGGAGGATCCTTTAACTCTTCCAAGGGCTTCCTGCTTAAAGAGTGCCCCCATCCTCCTGATATCAGTGGAGCTTTGGAGAGACTGCCAAACAGATTCCAGCCCATATAAAGCACGAACCATGTGTTCTGTGGGACCCACTCCCTTCACACTTGCTTAAACTAGAATGAGAACCAGGCCCTAGGATGTTCCTAAAACTGTGAAGCAAGAACCCAAGGAAGTGAAAAGACACATTTGTCATGTGGAATCCTATTTTAGCCAACTTGTTTGTGAGAATTCTGGCACACTGAAAGCCAGCTCCTCTGATATCATGGGCCCCAAGGCAAAGATTATCTGCCCCACCAGCAACAGAGGGCAGCTGTGAACCTCTGGTCAGATTGCATGTGTGAAAATGATTAACTGGTAAAACTATGCGTCTGTTACAGAAGCTATAGCTATGGAATATCCAGGCGCATAAGAGAAGGGAAATTCCACATTCATGGGCAGAATCCAAACATTTGGTTGATGTCGTGATTGCCAGTGTGGAGATCCTGGTGTGGCTCCAGAAGGGACATGCTGAACAAGGCTTACATAAGGAAGAGCAGAAAAGCCCCCCCCCGGGGCCACATTTCATTATTATCAAGAGATATAATAGGAGTCAGCCTACCATTGGGACCTTCACCCTTTAGTTGGAAATGCACCCTTTCCTTGTGAGTTCTGGCATTTTATGAGTCTTTCTATAAACATGCAAGTTCTTGGGCCCTGTGCACATATCCAGCTCTAGTATATCACACGCACTGCCCAAATTCCACAGACCCTCATATCAACTAGGGAGAGCCAGGACATGTAGATGATCACAGTGACTGTCTGACAAATCAGGATATGCAGGAGTCTGAGAAAAACAATGGAAACAAACGTTAACTGGAGCATCTTTGATTCCAGCCAGTTTGGGCTGAGTGTTGTGGCAATGGTCATCCTGGAATGGGAACCACATGACTGACAGCCCTGCCAGCAGCTCAAGGAGTAGGGAGGGTCAGGTGCCAAAAGGAAAAGATACAAGTCAGGCAAAAAAAAAAAAAAATTAGCCAGCGCCCACTATGAGCAAATCGAGATGCAAGTGACCTTGCCCAATATTTGTATAATTGAATGAATGATACAGGGTCTTGGATATTTAATCATCATTGACCCATGTGTACCTGTGAACACTAAACAAACACCTTGGCTGATATGGGGGGCTGGATGTCAAAGTAAAACAGATGCCATGGAAATCCAAGCTAACGTCACCAGTATGACTAATTCGAGTTAGTGTAAGCAATGCAGTTTCACACCTTTCCTGGGGATGCCCACGACCTGTATAGGCCTTTGGATGTTGCCGGTAACTCTCAGACATATCTTCTCCAGAGTCGGATTTTATTCCGTGTCCTCCTTTTGTTTCAGGGATTCCTGGTGGCCTTGCAGTATGGTTTTGCCAATGGAGAGGTATGATTTTCACCTTGCCATCGTAGCTTCCCATGAGGCTGGGGCTGGAGACCTACCACCTCTGCAGATTTCTGTGGATGTGATGGTGCTATGGGGGAATGTGCCGTGACCAGCATATGTGGGGACAAATTTGTCTTGTGAGCTTCCAGTACAGACAGCAGGAGGTAGTTTAGACAAACGGAAAAGAGGTGTCGGGATGGGTATAAAAGAGCTCAGAACCCAGCACTGGCCCTGCTGGAGATGCAAGCAGTATTCAAGTGTGACAGAGGAAAGAAGAAGCTTGAACCTCGGAGTCCAAAAATCTGGATTCATGCCTTTGCTCCCCACTTAAGAGCTCCGTGAGTTAGTCGGCTCACTGCACTTTGTTCAGCCTCACTCACTTTCCTCGTCAGTAATGTGGGAGTAGCAATCATCCCTGCTTTGTAGTCTTGCCCTGGGTATGCTGAGCATGTAATAAATACTCAACACCTGGGAGCTATGATTACCTTTTTAAAAAAAAGTCTTTTTATTTTTTTGAGACAGAGTCTTGCTCTGTTGCCCAGACTGGAATGCAGTGGCATGATACCAGCTCACTGCAACCTCCACCTCCCAGGTTCAAGCGATTCTCGTGCCTCAGCCTCTCGAGTAGCCGGGATTACAGGTGCCCAACACCGCACTCAGCTAATTTTTATATTTTTAGTGGAGATGGGGTTTCGCCATGTTGGCCAGGCTGACACTGGCCAAACTCCCGACCTCAAGTGATCCACCCTACTCAGCCTCCCAAAGTACTGGGATTACAGGCACGAGCCATGGAGTCCAGCCTATTATTACTTTCAGTTATTCATATTATTGCATAGCCCAACCAGCTCTCTGCTTCTCTGGGAAAAGGTTTGAAAGTGGGAGGGGCAGAGGCCAGCACAGGTGTCTTCTCCTGTCTTGAGGCGTTGGTAGTTTCCAGCCCCCCCGTCAACCTCCTCTCCAACTGCTACAAGTGTAAATATTTATTTCTGTCTCCTCCTACTAGAATGTAAGCTTCTTGACAGCAAAACCGTCTTCTGTTTTGCTCACTGCTGCTTCTGTATCTTCACGCAGGGGGCTCCTTACCCATCAACCAGGTATCAGCTCACATGCCACCCTGGCAGAGTCCTTTCCTGAACACTGTATCTTATGTTTTTGTTTCTTTACCACACTGTCCTGCTTAATGCTCTCATAGTATCATTACCACGTGATATGTTTACGTATCTATGTTTCTCCTTGTCTCCCCTAGGTAAGAGGTAAATTTCCCAACGGTAGCACGGAATAGCTACCCAATTAATATTTGCTAAATGGATACATGGCTAAATGACTCCAAGACAGTAACTTCTCCCTTGTCTTCACCCGGCAGGTGAAGGCTGAGCTGCGGAAATACTGGATCCGCTTCTTGCTAGCCCGCCACTCAGGCTGCAGAGCCTGTGTCCTGGGGAAGAACTTCCGGTTCCTGGGAAAAGGTCCCAAGAAGCTCTCGGAGGGAGATGGCGCTGAGAAGCTTCGGCAGCTGCAGCCCTCACTTAACAGTGGGCGGCTCCTACACCTAGCCATGCGAGGTCTTGGGGAGCTGGGCACCCGGCCCCAACAGGACCATGCACGCTGGCCCCGGGGCAGCAGCCTGTCCGAGTACAGCGAGGGGGATGTCACCCTGGCCAACACCGTGGAGGAGATTCTGGAAGAGAGTGAGATCTAGGGTGGAGTCCCACCACCCTGGCCCTGCTCCCAGGGATTCTTGAGGGGGCCCAGGAAGAGGAAGCACAGCAGGACACATGTTTCTGGGCACGGAATTATTCTTGTTCCATTCACCATGTCACTTTGCTATGAAGGCTATCACAAGGTTCTTCAAGCTCTGTGTGAAAGAGCTTGTCCTGCTCACAGCTTCTGCCTGCTCTTCTCATCCTAATAACCCCCACCAGTGTGTTTTCCAGAATGCCCACCAGACCCTAGCACCTGGCTCTAAATTCAACCAAATGCCCTATTGTGAAGAGAGGTCTCCTGTGACATAGAAGCCAGCGAGTATCTCATCCTTTATCCCTCATGGTGCACGGTTTCCATCTGAGGTTGGGTTTAGGGTGCCTGAGAACCTCCTAGGAAGCTTTTAAAATGCAGACTCCTAGACGTGTGGCTACGATTCTAAGACAGTGAGTCTGGGACCATGGCCAGCAAAGGGAACTGTTTAAGAAGCATCTCAGGGCCAGGTGCAGTGGCTCACGCCTGTAATCCCAGCACTTTGGGAGGCCGAGGCGGGTGGATCACGAGGTCAAGAGATCGAGACCATCCTGGTCAACATGGTGAAACTCCGTCTCTACTACAACTACAAAACTTTAGCTGGGCATGGTGGTGTGTGCCTGTAATCCCAGCTACTCAGGAGGCTGAGGCAGGAGAATTGCCTGAACCCAGGAGGCGGAGGTTGCGGTGAGCCGAGATTGTGCCATTGCACTCCAGCCTGGGTAACAAGAGCAAAACTCCGTCTCAAAAAAAAAGAAGCATCTCAGGTAATTCAGCTGCAAGCCCACCCTTGGGCAAGGTGGGATGGAGCTAGAAGCCCCCTTGATGTGGCCATGGCAGGATGCTGCTGGAGACGTTCTGTTCTCCCAGCTCAGCTGGGGTGTGCCTGCCCTTCCTTGGACAGTGTGTAACCCCATGTCACCCACCAGAGTGCCGCTCCTCTCCTGCTTCTCTGCTCTTCCTCTCCTACTGAGTCTTACCTCTTTCTCTCTTCACCTCAATTCTCTGTCCCTGAGCAGCAGGGGTCTGCTTGATCCTCCCTGTGAAGATTGGCCCCAACTCCTGGTGACCCTCTGAATGTCGTCTTTGGTCCGTTGCTCTCCTTTCTGGCTCTATCTACCTTTCTGAGGTTGGCTTCTACCAGCCTGATTTACGCTACCCTTTTCTTGGGCCAATGAATGCCCCCCACCATTTTTGGTTTGCTATTGATGGCATTGATGATCACAACTCTTATCCCAGGAGGTTGACCTATGACTCTCTATGGCCAGCGTCTCTGCTGATCAGAATTCTGTTGCCCAGTGGGAATAAATGCTGAAAGCAGGAGGGCCAGGTAAAGCAGTAAGACTGGCTGGATCTGGACATGCCCAGGGTGGCACTGAGAGACCCAGGACTTCACATCAACCAGCCATGGGACCTTTCCTGCCTACTGTGACCCATGGAGGCTGAGGAGGGCCCAGCCAATTGGGATCAGGCTCAATGACTGAAAGTATAAGGCAAGAGACTGTAAGAAGATCAAGGGAGGGACATCTGTTGGAAACAGTGTGTTAACGCACAGGACTGTCAGTTTCATGGCATGTAAGAGGCATGTGTACGTGGGTGGGTTATGTTGCTGTAGGACTAAATAGCACGTGATCTTTGGGGGAGTGGATATGATGCTTCTCAAGTAGGGCTGCCATATTTAGCAAACAAAAACATGATACTCAATTACATTTGAATTTCAGATAAACAAATCATCTTCTTGTATAAGTATATCCCATGGGGCATATTTTATCTGAGATTGGAATTTAATCATGCATCTTATCTTTTACTGGCAACTCTGTTTTCAAGGATACTTTGTAGCAGGGCTGGGACTAGGGTGAAATAATCAAGACATTCATCTCTAAAAAACTCAAAATAAATAATCAAAAGAAATCATATTTTAATGCAATAGTCTAAAAAAAAACAAATTAACAAACTACAGCCCACGAGCCATCTATAGAAATAAAATTTAATTGAAACTAGGGGCAGGATAAAGGTGAGGCTGGAGAGGCCAGCTCCTGCAAGTGCAGGCTCTGGTTCTGACTTTAAAATGCTGTTGATCAGCTGGGAGCGTTGGTTCACACCTGTAATCCCAACACTTTTGGAGGCCAAGGCGGGTGGATCACCTGAGGTCAGGAGTTCGAGACCAGTCTGGCCAACATGGTGAAACCCCATCTCTACTAAAAAAAAAAAAAAAATACAAAAATTAGCTGGGCGTGGTGGTGGGCACCTGTAGTCCCAGCTACTCAGGAGGCTGAGGCAGGAGAATTACTTGAAACCAGAAAGCAGAGGTTGCAGTGAGCTGAGATCACGTAACTGCACTCTAGCCTGGGAGACAAAGCAAGACTCCATCTCAAAAAAACAAAACAGTTGTTTATCAGGGACTTTTAATGTGAATTTTTATTTCTAAACAATTGCATCAAAATATTATTTATATTGACTATGGGGACTTTTGAGGCCCCCTTTAATTTTGTGCTTGAAGTAGAAACCTCAGGTGTGTAACCAGTAGTCTGGCCCTGGTTTTCAGGATGGAGGTAGAGGCAAAGGCATCGGGGAAGTGCCCAATGAAGCAAAGATTTATTTTTTGGTGTCCAGATTAGCCATGGCTCAATCACTAAAATATAAGTCTATTTTTCTCCTTTCTGCAAATGTCCCTGCCTCGGCTCATTAGCCAATTAGCTCCTGGAAAGCTGGGGTCGTCTCCTATTCCCAGCAAGTACCCAGCACAGAGCCGGCTCAGAGCAGGTGCTCCCCACACATTCCTCCAATGAGAAGGCACAGTGGCTCTCGGGAGCCTCAGATGCTGCCGGGAGTAAGTGATCCAGGACCTCACCACTAAGAGGAGAAACTTTTTTTCAAAGCATTTATAAATACTCCCTCCACCCTTCACTCCACAAATGGGGTGGTCAACACGTACTGCTTGTTCTTGTTTTGCTCATGATTAAAACAAGTTTATTTAATTTGATTTGCATTTTGTTGGTTTTTTTAACATTTGTTTTTCACTGGAGCTCAGAGTCTCTCCCACCCCCAAAGAATGTGATTCCTGGCCAGAAGTGAGGAAAAGGGCTGTGGTGTTTAGCTGGGGATCTGCGTGTTCCAACATCTTAAATTTGGCCTTAGGGACCAGAGGAGTGGACAGAGGGGTAGAGGCCAGAAGCAGAGGTCAGAAGTCAAAAGAATGGAAGGAGAGTGTCTCCCCTTTTATAGATGACCCCTTGGTCACTCAGCATGCCTGCTGTTTTGAAGATCTAGCCTGGCAGTTCTCCATCCGGGTATTACAATCCCCTGGGAAGCTTTTGATTTTTATGTATTTTTATGTATTTGGTTTTTTTCAGAGTCTCACTCTGTTGCCCAGGCTGGAGTGCAGTGGCATGATCTCAGCTCACTGCAACCTCTACCTCCCTGGTCAAAGCTATTCTCATGCCTCAGCCTCCCAAGTACCTGAGACTACAAGTCTCATGCCTCAGCCTCCCAAGTAGCTGAGCCACCATGCCCAGCTAATTTTTTTGTATTTTTGGTAGAGATGAGGTTTCAACATGTTGGCCAGGCTGGTCTTGAACTCCTGCCCTCAGGTGATCCGCCTGCCCTGGCCTCCCAAAGTGCTGGGATTACAAGGATGAACCACCTCGCCTGGCCCCCGGGGAGCTTTTTAAAAAAGCCGATGATGGGGTCCGACCCCAGAGATTCTGATTGAAAATGGTCTTAATAGACCATTGCTTTATCTATTAAGATCAATGGTCTATTGAGACCATTGTGCATTGGTATTTTTATAAGTTCCTGAGTGATCTTTTTAAAATTGTGGCAAAATACTATAACATAAAATTAACCACTGTAGCCATTTTAAATGAACAATTCAGTGGCATTAAGTACATTCTTACTGTCATGCAAGCATCACCACCATTCATCTCCAGGACTCTTTTCATCTTCCCGAACTGAAACTCTATATCCATTAGACAATAACCTCCCATTCTTCCCTCCCCGAGCTCCCGGTAACTTCTTTCTGTCTCTGTGATTTTGCCTATTCTAGATACATCAGCTATAAGTAGAATTGTATAGTATTTATCCTTTTGTGACTGGCTTATTTCACTCACCAGAATGCCCTCAGGGATCATCCACCATGTAGTGTGTGTCAGAATTTCCTTTTTTTAAATGCTGAATACTATTCCATGCATACCACATTTTGTTTATCTGTTCATCCATTGAGGAACACTTGGGTTGTTTCCATGTTTTGGCTTTGTGACTAATGCTCTTGGTAGGGGTGTATAAACATCTAGTTTCTGCTTTTAAATTTTTGAGTATACCTACAAGCTTAACTACTAAATCATATGGTGATTCTATATTTTTCCCAACCGCTTTGCCATTTTATATTGCCACCAGCAATGCATGAGGGTTCCAAATTCTTCATGGCCTTGCCAACATTCATTTTCCATTTTTTTTTAATGATAACCATTCCTAATGGCTGTAAAATGGTATCTCATTGTGGTTTTGATTTGCGTTTCCTTAATGACTAATGATGTTAAGCATTTTTTATGTGCTTGCTAATTGGTCTCTTGCAAGTTTTCTTTACAGAAATATCTATTCAATTCTTAGCCCAGTTTTGAATTGGATTGTTTAGTTTTTGTTGTTGAGTTGTAGGAATTCCTTTTTTTTTTTTTTTTTTTTNTTTTTTTTGAGATGGAGTTTCGCTCTTCTGCTCAGGCTGGAGTGTGGTGTCACGATCTTGGCTCACCGCAATCTCTGCCTCCTGGGTTCAAGTGACTCTCCTGCCTCAGCCTCCCAAGTAGCTGGGATTATAGTCATGTGCCACCATGCCTGGTTAATTTTGTATTTTTAGTAGAGTTGGGGTTTCTCCATGTTGGTCAGGCTGGTCTTGAACTTGCAACCTCAGGTGATCCGCCCACCTCAGCCTCCCAAAATGCTGGGATTACAGGCGTGAGCCACCGCAGCTGGCCCAGTTGTAGGAATCCTTTATAAATTCTGGATATTGATATCTTATCAGATATATTATTTGCAAATATTTTCTCTCATTCTGTAGATTGTCTTTCACTCTCTTGATGGTGCCGTTTTATGTACAAAAGTTTTAAATTTTGATGAAGTCTAATTTTTTTCTTTTTTTAGATACTTTGATGAAGTATCTATTTTTTTCTTTTGCTGCCCATGCATTGGTGTCAACGCCACCTGTGTGACTTTAATATGGGACCAAAGTTGACGACATTGGCTGAGGCAGAGGGGAAGGAGGTGAACCCTTGTCTGGAAACTGACAATACCTTGCTGAAGTCCAAATAAACTGAGCCTTCCTCCCATGTAGCATTTAGAGCTCAGAAATTCTTCCATGAGCACAGACTCAACTGATTCTCACACTCTAAGTGATAGACAATGTAGGTATGGTTGGCCCAGTTTTATGGTTTTATAAGGGGTGGTCATCCCAGCTGGAGCCTAAAAGCCTGAGACACAGACATATCTGGGTTTGTCTGATGAGTTTATATAACCATTAAAGGACAGAAATGGGGGTGGAGTGGACAGCAGCATGGTGGGTGACCCCACCTGGCTCCATGGTCAGAATCTGAGTCTGATGAGTGAAGAGAAGTTCTGGACAAAAGCTAAAAGAGCTGTTTCCAGGAGGCAATGACAAAAGCTGTTTCCATGACACATGCTACTTCCCATGGAGCTGTTCTGACAGACGATAACCTAGAAGACTCCCCAGCAGATCAGCACACAGCTTGGGCACATTAGGAGCACTGTGGCCTTGCCTGTGATTAGGAATGTGGTATTTGGCGGCAGCAATGGCACCTGGCACTAAGGGACCTATTGGTGAATCTGTGCAGGACACCTCCCGGAGATGCTAAAAATGTCCAAGAGGCACTGCACAAGGAGCTGGGATCTTATGTGGGCAGGTGGCAATGGAAGCTGGGGCAATTTGAATTATTGTTCTTAATGAGACCCATTTCTGCCCTTGAATTTACATGTACTTGAGGAATCAGGGACGTGAAATGACTTCCCCAAGGTCTCTGTAGTAGACATCTATTTTTAGAATCCACCCTTCTTACAGTACCCCAATTTTCCTCTTGGAAAAACCTCCCACCTCCTACTCTCAGTCCATGGAACTTGAGTTGTCCTGACTCTATCCTCAGTTCAAGGATGAGCATAAAAATCTGGCCAAGCAGAGCCGTACATCCTCCTGGCAGCAATGAGTCAGGCATGGGAATATAACTAACCAGAGGCAGTGAGAAGCAATCCTGACTCTTTGGCTGGGACTCTTGAGAGAAAGCATTATTTCTTTTTTTTTTCTGCTGAAATTGGAACCACGAAGAAGGCAGCCTGGATCTGCTGGTGACCGTCTTGCCAGCATGGGAAGAACCTGTCTGAGAATGGTGGTGACAGCAGAAAGCAGAACCAGGAGAGGGAGAAGTGAACCCAGAGACATTGTTAAAGCACCTGGATTAAGCCAGACCTGAAGGTAGCCCTACTCCTAGAATTTTAGCTATAAGAGCCAATCAATTTCTATCTGTGCCACGACAATTTGTGCCAGGTCATCTACCTTTTGCATCTGGAAGAGTCTTGATGACATAGGTCATCACCATCTCTACCTCCTCTTCCCTTTGGCCAAATTGAACTTCATGCTTTATTTCCCACAGAGTGTCACAGAGCTGTACAGAATCCCAGCCCAAGTGGTGCTTCTACCCTACACTAAAAAAAGAGGTGCCAATTAGGTTATCACTCGTTGGTTCTCCACGGGCCACTGAAAGCTCTAGTGGCCACTTTATCTTTCTCATTGAACCACAAACCAGCAGGGTACCTGATTACGCAGTGTCTGTCTTTTTAGACTCAAGTGATAATGATAACCAATGATAATTCTCTTTGATAACCTCAAAGAGAAGTGAAAAGCCCTCAGCCTCATTCATCAAGCAACCAGATTCATTCATGGAGTGTGGTGGAAAGAGCATTGGAGTAAGGCCTTGAGCCCTTTGGTCATATTCCTAGGACATTCTGGACTAGACCCTCAGTGTCCTGTATCTCCCACTGAAGTGGCTCCTGTGTAGTCCGCTATGTCTATATGGGAGAATTGTCTTGGGCAGATGATTCTATTAATAATAATTCTCCTCCTGGAATGTCTGGACTCATGCCCTACTGCCTCCCTCCCCTTTCCAGCTCTGACTCTGTGCAATCCTAGAGTTCTATATCCTGCTGTGTCCAGGTCAAAACTATTGGAGAAGCCCGCTGTAATCAAAGGGACTCCAGTTTAAGTACCAAATTCTACTCATACTTCCTGGCCTCAGTATCCTCATCTGTGCTATGGAGATAATAACATCTCCATCAATGAAGTAATGCCGGCAGAGAGTCTAGCATGATGCATGGCTCATAAGTGTTTATTCTCATGTTTGCTCTCCACACAGAGGAGTGCTCTCTGCCAGTGGTGACTGTGTCATCTCTGTGGCTAAAGTGGGGTCTGGAGGCATCACCACAACACCAGCCACTGGAGACTCCCCAGCCTCAAGAGGTGGTATACAGGTCAGTCAAGAATCCATGCATTTTTCTGACCTCATCTTGGAACTTGAGGCTGGAGAATAAATGGGCCTCCAAAGCAACAAATCCAGGGATCTTGGAGAACACACTGATGGAATTCCTGGGTATCCCAGGCCCTGGAGCTTCAAGGAGGCAGTAGGGGGGCCAGTTGGTAGCCCTGGCCTGACCTCTGCTCATCAGCTGGCCACTGCTGGGCAAGCTGCTTCATTGGGCCACCTTTTCCTTGTCTCTAAAACAAGGGGCTTTAGGGACATCTATGGTTCTACCTTCACCACTTACTGTATTGAAGCTGAACTCATCATTGTCCCCTGAAACCCCAAATGCTCCCTGTGTTTCTCATCTCCATAGTTGACATTGTTATTCACCCACTGCCCAAGCTACAGACCTGGATGCCACTCCTGCCCTCCCTCCTCCTGCCCCCTCAGTCAGCCAGGTGGACTCTGCCTCCTAAATGTACCCTCACTGGGTCTGGTCCTCTCCATCCCTCTGCCTTTCCCCTGGTCCAGGCCACCTGGGTGGCTGCAAAGGCTTATTCATCAGGCTTTGAATAAGCCCCCAGTCACTATTTATTTTAGTTTGCTGGGGGCTTCTCTTACAGACATAAACCCCTCCTACGCCCATGGTGAAGCTCCAAGTGCTTACCACCATTGGCTGCAGGGAAGGCCTTGGGCGGTCCAGTCCCCGCCCACCTTGTAGGTTCAGCTCACACTTTGCCCTCTCTCCTCTTTCTACCCTCCAGCCACCATGACCTTCTCCTGGAACTTGAGATAGTTGTTCGTTCCTTGTCGGCTCTGTGTTGGCTGCCTTCCGTTTGAGACTTCCCCACCCCAACTCTGTCCCCCACCTCTTGTGCAGTGGGTCTGAATCAAAATGTCCCTTCATTTTGGGATGTGGTCCCCTGATCCCCACTGACAAGTCAGCCCCTTCCACTGTGTCCTCCCCCAGTGCTCTACACGTCTCCTTGGTAACCTGGGCCATTGGTCATGGCTCCTTCCAAGTCCATTGTCTGTGCCCTCTGGACCGTGAGCTCCATGAGAGCAGGACCGAGTCAGGTTCATTCGGCACCAGGGCAGCCCAGCCTAGGGCCGCCATTGCCACACAGCCTTGTCTTCGGGGTGTGGCTGACAGAAATCATTTCCTTTTCCAGTTGAAGGATGACCAGCAGCTGCGTGCCCAGCTCCACTTGTGTTTATTGGAAACTGCTTACCCAGCACTCCACAAAGGAGCTTACAGCAGGGTGACACTTAGGACTACTATGGCCTAATCCTGGGATTAGCACAGGGCCATGGACTGGTGGGCAGAGGGAGGGGTGGGGCGGGGGATGATGGGAGGGATGCTGAAGACCCAGGAAGAAGGAACCAGTGGGCCACTACAGATGCTTCAGTTTGGCAGGGAGCTGTGCTGTGGGCTGTGTGCAGGCCTCTCTCTTGGCCCTGGAATGGATGTGTGCATGTGTGCATGTGTGCATGTGTGCGTGCATGTATGTGTCTGTGCGTGTGTGCGCGCGTGCGTGCGTGTCTGCACGTGTGTGTGCATGTGTGTGCGTGTGTGTGCGTGTGTGTGCATGTTTGTGCATGCGTGTGTGCATGCGCGTGCACACGCTCACAGGTGTCATGTGAGTGGTGAGTGGAGGGAGGACTGCTGAACAGTTGGCATCAGGGGTTCTTTTACTTTTCCTTCGCCCTTTTAGGCTCAAACTGGATCAGTCGCAGAATTTCCTTATTGGCCAGGGTTCCGTCAATGAATTCTTTCTCTGTAAGTTTATCTGTGCATTGGGAAAAAATATATGCATATATAAAACAGTCAGGATTGATAACCAAGCAAGCTGCGATGAGGCTGGCATCCAGCCAGTATCCCCAGTGGGAATGTACCTATTATGAAAATATTGAATACTCAGTGGCGCTGTGTATTCTATAGTCCTCCACCCCAGTCTGGATACCCACCTCCTTTCCCAAGACCCTTGGAGCTCCCTGGGAACCAGCAAAGAGAGGTGAATGACTGGCACTGGAGGAGCCCCCGGGATGCCAATCTTGTGTTATGTTCCTCTTCCAGTTGGCCGGTGCCCCTGCCTTGCTGGTTATTAAATACTTCAATAATTAATAATAACTATCAATTGTTATTCTATTTTCAATATTAGTTCAAGTTTCAAGGATCAAGTTTGGGGGGAGCTTCTGGGGGTTGGAGCAAAGCAAAACAATCTGGATGTCAGACCCAGAATCTCAGCTGAGAAGCACGGAACAATGTCCCCCCAGAATAGGAGTGAGAAGTGTGGGGTCCAATGAAATCATGCGAGGGGGAGCATGGCTTGTAGAGAGGTCTCTTTGGCACCTGCAGCACACAGGCACCCCATGACTCCTGGCTGCCAACTCCACCATGATCCCTTCCTATGCATCTATCCCCGTGTCCCCCAATCTCATCTGACTCCTTATTTGGGACCAGGACTGAGAGACAGCCTTGTTCCAGCCACAGCTGGTTTCCCAGTTTTTGCCAGGTGGCTTACTGTATTCAGATCAGTCCAGTGAAATGCATGGTCCTGAGCCCAGATGCCACAGTGCTTGGAGCCAAGGCCACCACAGGGAGTGGAGGTGGGTGTATAAGAGAAGAGAATGAGAAGTCTCTCCCTGGGAAACTCTTGATATGGCAGGGAAGGCAGTCACACACAGAAATACCTCTAGCATGAAACAGATGCTCCTTTCTGTTGTACGCTGACAAAGCCTAGCACAGAGTTGGTGTCAACAAGCTTTAATGAACTGAATGTGATTTCTGACTTATCCTCTGGGCCTTTCAGATACCCTTAATCCCTTCTGGGTTAGGATCTCTGCATAAGTCTGGGTGGTAAATTTTGGGTTTTAACATCCCAGTCACCCCATGGAGAGCTCAGAGAGCTTGAAACTCCCACCATCAAAGCCTGAATCTGCCGTGAGGCATTGTCTCCACGTGGGCCACGTGGAAACACATACAACACATCACCCACAGGAGTAATCCGTCGGCCCTCTGACATCATCCCCTCCTGGGACATTCGCGGGGGCAGTTTTCAGATGAGCAAATAGCGGAACACAGGGTTCAACACACGAACAGACCCAGAGGGAAGGTCACGAAGGCAGTTAAGGAGCCAGTGGGGTGAAGTGCCAAAAGAAGGCATCTTGGCAGCCAGGGTGTGTGCGAGGAGAAAGTGCTCAAAGGAGAGGTGCCAATCAGGGCCAATGAGCGAAAGGTGGGTAAAGTACCAAGGTGGTAATTTAAGGATGCGCTCACTTTCAGGTCCTGTGAGTGCACTGTTGACCCCTGAGAATGAGCGCCTCCTTAAATTCTGTGTCCTATGTCCCTCCTACCCCAATGACCTTCATGCTTCTCCGATTCCATCATTTGTGGGCAGATTAGGAGGAGCAAGGTCATCTCTCTCTGCCCTTATTTAGCATCCTGTTCAGGTTTTTCTTCTTGAACCTGACTGACTCCAGAGGTCACCAAAGGGTTTAATAAAGGATCCTTGGATGTGTTTGGGCCGTACTGTGTTTTATCAATTGAGGCACATTGCATTTTAAAAATCTCCATGGATGGCTTCTCTTAAAAAACAAAAAATCAGATGATGTCTCAACCATGATAGGTTCCATGTTCCCAGGTGGAATATGCTGGAAGCCATCAGACCAGAGGTGGACCCTCTGCTGTTTGCCAATCCTCACTGCTTGTAGGTTACCGTCCACATCACTCATTTTTATCATTCCCGCCCCTCCAGCCATATGCGTTTGCACCCCCAGCGTAACACCAGCTCCTCCACCACATCCTCCCTGTGCTGGCTGTAAGCATCACAGACGCCCAGCCCCAGCAGCCCAGGGCTGGAACCCATCACTGCCCTCAATGCAGGATCCTGCTTCCCAAGGGCTGCTTCCAGCCACTGACTGACAGGGCAGGGGCACCAAAACTGTCAGGGGCAATGAGAACACCCCATAGACTCTGTCAACACTTCCCCAGAATGCACGAGGTCTCAGGCACTTCTTACCTAACCTTTCTTTCTTTCCCTCTCTCCCTGAGGGGGATCAGATCTGCAGGGCCCTCTGATGGTTTTCCCAGCCCCTCCTAGATCCCTCCCTGTTTTCCTTCATCAGCCTTCCCCACATAAATCTCTTGCAGTCTCATTTAAATCTAATCCTGTCTTGGTAGTGTTTCTCAGACGACCCAAACTAACTTCCCAAAGTAAAACCACATAAATTTAGGTCCCACTGACTTGAAACTTGACATTAATTTAAAGTTAGGGTTAGTTGAAGTTTGCTCTTGTTCTAATTACACAGAAAACATTTTTGGTCCCTGCTCATCCTTATGGCCATTCCCCCATCGAACCCTTCAGACAGTTCTGAAAATGCACAATGGAATGAGGTGTCTGTCCCCCGTCCTGCCTGGGCACTGTGACTCAGAAGAATAAAGCTTGTTGGGGTTTCCGGGAAACAGCCCGTGGTTGAAAAATCAAAGGCAATGAAGGAAAAGGAGCTCACCGTCATCGTTCTTCCCAAAGTACTTCCAGATCTTCTCAGCTCGCTTTTCCGGTGTGTTCTCATCATCTGGAAGGAGCTTCACATCCTCAGGAGAGATCATTTTGAAAATAGCCTGTACCGAACCGAAATAAAGAACTTGTTAGGCAGAGCTCCAAGGGGCTGGCAACCCCGGAAAATCCACATCGTACACCATACACAAAAATCTACTCAAAATGGATTGAAGACTTAAACATAAGACCTCAGACCATCAAGCTGCTGGAGGAAAACACAGGAGAAAAGCTTCTGGACATCGGTCTTGACGGTGATTTTTCGGATATGACACCAAAAGTGCAGGCAACATAAACCAAAATGAACAAGCGGGATGACAGCAGACTAAAGAGCTTCTCCACGTGAGAGGAAACAATGAATAAAATCAAAAGGCAACTTATGGAATGGGAGAAAACATTTGCAAACCATGTGTCTTATAAGGGGTTAATATAAAAAATATATAAAGGGCCAGGTGCCGTGGCTGATGCCTATAATCCCAGCACTTTGGAAGGACGAGGCAAGAGGATCACTTGAGGCCAGAAATTTGAGACTAGTCTGGGCAACAAAGTGAGACTCCAACTCTACAAAAGAAAATTAATTAGCAGAGGTGGTGGGACATGCCTGTAGTCCCAGCTACTCGGGAGGTTGAGGATCGCTTGAGCCCAGGAGGTCTAGGCTGCAGTGATCCATTTTTGCACCTCTGCACTTCAGCCTAGGTGACAGAGCAAGACCCTCTCTCTCTCTACCTACATATCTATAAATATACATACACACACACGTACACACACACGTGCGCGCACGCGCACACACACACACACACACACACAAACACACACACACATATATGGAACCCCTACAACTCAATACCAAAAGAACAAATAACACAATTGAAAAATGGGCAAAGGAGGCCAGGTGTGGTGGCTCACGTCCGTAATCCCAGCACTTTGGAAGGCCAAGGCGGTGGATCACCTGAGGTCAGGAGTTCAAGACCAGCCTGGCCAACATGGGGAAACGCCATCTCTACTAAAGATACAAATTTAGCCAGATATGATGGTGTGTGCCTGTATTCCCAGCTACTCAGGAGGCTGAGGCAGAAGAATCGCTTGAACCCTGGAGGCGAAGGTTGTAGTGAGCCAAGATCACACCATTACACCAGCCCGGGTGACAAGAGTAAAACTCTGTCTGAAAAAAAAAAAAAAAAAAAAAGAAATGGGCAAAGGACCCAAATAGACATTTCTCTTAAGAAGACATGCAAGCGGACAGCAGGTATCTAAAAACATCACTGATCACCAGGGAAATATAAATCCATACCGCAATGAGATATCACCTCATACCTGTTAGAACGGCTGTGCTAAAAAAGACAAGAAATAACAGACGTTGGCAAGGATGTGGCGACAAGGGAACCCTGGTCCACTGTTGCTGGGAATGTAAAATAGTACAACCATTATGAAAGACACACCAGGGACTGTGGGTCACCTCCATCATGCTGTCCCTCTCTCAGTGCCCCACCAGCCTGCGGGAGCAGACAGCAGTTATAATACAGATGTACAGACCCCCACATGATCTACTAAATCAAAATTCCTGGGGGAGGAACCTGGGCATCTGTATTTTTGAGGTCCTCATAAGGGGCAGGGAGTTTGGGGAAAAGGCAAAGCCTTTCATTTCTTATTTTGTACCTTTCTGTACTGTTTGATTTTCCGGCCCTGTAGACATATTAATTTCACTTATTTTAAAAAATGAATATAAAAAAGAGAAAGCTTCCTGATGAAAATGTTACAGCAGCTCTGAGGTTGGAATTCGGGAATCACTACCTCAGACCCTATTACCCAGAGGTTTTAGAATAGTAAACCTCTTCTTCTGGGTTCATAAGTCAGTAGAACTGGCTTATGGCAATAATGGTTAACATTTGTTGAGTGCTTAAGAGGTGTCACTCTCTTTTTTTCTTGTTTCTTTTCTCCTCTGTTTTCTTTTTTCTTTTTTTTGTTTGTTGTTGTTTTTGTTTTGTTTTGTTTTGTTTTGAGACAGGGGCTTGCTCTGTTGCCTAGGCTGGAGTACAGTGGTGCAATCATGGCTCACTGCAGCCTTGATGTGCTGGGCTCGAGCAATCCTCCCACCTCAGTCTTCTGAGTATCTGGGACTACAGGTGCACACCACCATGCTCAGCAAATTTTTTGAATTTTTTTGTAGAGATGGGGTCTCACTATGTTGCCCAGGCTGGCCTCAAACTCCTGAGCTCAAGAGATCCTTTCACCTTGGCCTCCCAAAGTGCTTGGATTACAGGCATGGGCCACTGGGCCTGGCCTAGGTGTCACTTTTCTAAACATTTTTACACCTCATCTTCACAATAACCTTATGAAGAAGGCTTTATTGGTCCCATTTTATGGAAGAAGAAATTGAGACAACTAACTTGCTGGAAGTCACCCAACTAGAAGTAGAGGGGCAGAGATTTGAACCCAGGCATTTCAGATCTAGAACTGGTATCCCCGTGTTATGCCATAGCCCACTCACCTCCTTATTACTGGAAGGGCCTGGAAAGCATTGAGCAAGCCTGGGGGAGGGGGAGGAAGGCATCAACAAGAACTTTTCAAAGGTCTGCCCTTGGCACGGGAAGCCCCTCATTTAACCTTCTGCTCAAGGAGGGATTCAGAGAAAGGCTTAGCTTTGGGCTCAAGGATCCCATCCTTCTCACCTCCCGCCCCTCTAACAAAGCAGCTGGGTATGCAATGTAGGGGAAGCAAGAAGTGCCCCCAGACCTGTGAGATCCAGGGACAAAGGGGCACCCTTCCAGCTCCAAGTTTCTAGGATTCCACTGGCTCAGGAACACCAGTGCCAGCCGGATCCAGAAGGGACACCCAAGACAGTAGGTCCTTGGATGCTGAGGAGGGGCAGGCACGTTGGGTGGGAGCTGGGAGGTTACTGGCTCTGGCCAGAGCCTTTTGTCTCCCTAGAGACACCTGTGAGCAGGTCAGGCAGGGGCAATAATGGCTGTGAAATTATCCTGGAGGGAAGGTTGATGGCTTTGAGAAGTTCCCCTTCAGCCCCCTGGTGCTGGAAAAAGGAGCAGGGAGACCAAAGCCAGCAGCCCAGGGCAGCAGCCTCGCTGGCAGCACCCAGGGCCCTGAGGTGGAGGCAAGGGTAGGTGGCCCCCACACTCCTCTTGGTCTGTGCAGGGCCTGGGGTGCCATGTGCAGGTGTGCCAGCTGGAAGCTGGGAGTGACTGCCTGCCCACCCCACTTCCAACATGGAGGGACAGACCTTCAGGGTCTTGGAAAAGGCTGCAAAAATAATCAAATCCTCACCCTGGGTCCAGGAAGGTTATATGGTTTAACCACAGCAACACAGCTAGTTGGAGTCAGAGCTGGGGCTAGAATCCTTCACTTGTGACTCCCCCAGTGAGTGCTCTGCCCATGAACTTGGAATCTGGCGAATAGCAGAGCCTTCTGACACCTTGCACAGCCTCAGCCACTGATGGCTTCTCCCTCCCTCTCTTTCCTTTCTTCTTTTCTCTCCTCCTTTCCTTCTCCCTCTCTCCCTTCCTTCTTTCTTCCCCCTTGCTTCCCTCTCTTTCCTTCCTGACTCCTACCCCTTCTCTTTCCCTCCCTCGTTTCCCCCTCCTCCCTTTCCTCCTCCTTTTCTTCAAGGAGTATCCATTTGTAGGCTTCTGCTAGGCCCCACATTGTTGATGCAGCTCTGAAGACTTAGTCCCTGTCCCAGGCCACCCAGAGACCCCACAGCCAATGCTGGGGAGGTTGCTTTGCAGGCTGTGCCAAGATAGCAATGAGGGTGACACAAATCTGCCGGAACAGGAGACCCGAGCCGAGCACTGAGCATCAACCCATGGACCATAAGCTGTATGCTTTGCTGTTTTATTTATGGTTTCTCCTAATAAAAGCGGAAGATTTTAGTGCATTTGCAGTCATGCAAATGAAAGCATGATTACAAATGCACAAAACAGTCTCTCTACTAACAGAAATGGAATTAGAACAATAAACCGAGTGGCAGGGGCAGCAGAACTGAAAAAGAACAAGTGAAAAATATCAAAGGAAGGAAATGAGAACTGGTATAATAGGAAAGACATGGAAAAACCCTAATGTCCAAAAACATAGGAATGTTAAATAATTTCCACATTTCCATAAGCTAGAACTCCAAGCAGCTATTAAAAGTGTTTTGGAAAAGGTTGGGTACTTAGGCTTAGGCCTATAATCACAGCACTTTGGGAGACCAAGGTGGGTGTATTATATGAGGTCAGGCATTCGAGACCAGCCTGGCGAAAACCCGTCTCTACTGAAAATACAGAAATTAGCTGGGCGTGGTGTCAGGTGCCCATGATCCCAGCTGCTCAGGAGGCTGAGGCAGGATGGGAGAATTGCTTGAACCTGGGAGGCAGAGGCTGCAGTGAGCTGAGATCACGCCACTGCACTCCAGCCTGGGCGACAAGAGCAAAACTCCATCTGAAAAAAAAAGAAGTGTTTTGGAAGAATATGTAATGATACGGAAAGCACTCATGATAAAAGAAAATGTATGATAAAAATCAAATATGAATATGTCATAGCTTTAACATTGTTTAAAATTATATAGGTAAAAGACTGAAAAGGTGTCTACTGATATAGCAAGAAAAATTTTCCCTGGATGTTGGAATTAGAGGCAATTTTTAGTCTCTTTTGCCTATGCTTCTAAATTTCATCAGTTACTTCTATTAGATAAACCATTTTCAAGACACCTACTAGGTTGGTGCAAAGTAATTGTGCTTTTTGCTATTACTTTCACAACAAAGGATCTCACACGAGGACAGTATGGACGGAGGAGAAGGTGTGCTGGGAACCATGTGGAAGCATGTGTGCCTCAAAGGGAGCCTGCCAGGAGCCAAGGAGCCACGCCGCGCGTGGGAAGTGGGGGCTTATGGGCAGTGCGGTGACCCACCTGGCGCTGGGGAGAACCTTAAGACTAGAACTCAGAGTTTACTCAACTTTGACTTTTTTCGACTTTATATTTGAAGCATATTGTGTGTTTAGAATTAATCGTTGATTCAACTCGAATGTGTACTGCTGAAAATTTTAAAGGACTTGTTTGTTTGTTTGAGATGGAGTTTTGTTCTTGTTGCCCAGGTTGGAGTGCAATGGCGCAATCTCAGCTCACCACAACCTCCGCCTCTTGGGTTCAAGCGATTCTCCTGCCTCAGCCTCCCAAGTAGCTGACATTACAGGCATGCGCCACCACACCTGGCTAATCTTGTATTTTTAGTAGAGACGGGGTCTTTCCATGTTGTTCAGGTTTGTCTCAAACTCCTGACCTTAGGTGATCCGTCCACTTTGGCCTCCCAAAGTGCTGGGATTATAGGCGTGAGCCACCTTGCCTGGCCTAAAGGACATTTTAATAAAGGAAGGACGAAACAAAGGATGGAGAGAAAGAAAAAAAAAATGTAAATATAGTCACGTGCCACTCAAAGACAGGAATACATCCTGAGAAACACATCATTAGGCAGTTTCCATGTGGGGACATCACACAGCGTCCTCACACAAACCCAGAGAGTAGAGCCTACGACACCCCCTGGCTCTGTGGTCCAGCCTTTTGCTCCTAGGCTACAAACCCATGCAGCATGTGGCTGTCCTGAATGCTGCAGGCCGTTGTCACACAATGGTTAGTATTTGTGGATCTAAACGTTTCCAAATATAGAAATCATACAGTAAAAGCACAGTATAAAGACCTGTCTAGGGCACTTACCTTGAGGGGAGCCTGCCGCATTGGGCGTTGCTCTGGGTGAGTCAGTGAGTGAGTGGGGAGTGCATGTGAACACCCAGGACATGACTGTACTCTACTGGGGATTTTCTAGACCCTCTACGCTTAGGCTACACCAAATGCATTTGAAAAATCAAGTAACTTTGCTATGATGTCACTAGACAATAGGAAATTTTCAGCTCCATTATAATCTTATGGGACCACAATGGTATATACGGTCCATGGTTGATCTGAACATGGCTAAGCCACGCATCACACGACTATATTAGAAAACACTCAGATTCTTCTTCAGGAAGAAAATGAAGCTGTGGGCAAGTGCCCACCCCTCTTACCAATATCAGCATCTCGGAGCACCACTCTCTCAGAGCCAGTGTGGCCCGAATCCCCCCTCCACCCACAGCTCTACTCCCACTGCAGCAGCCGCAGCAGGGGACCCCCCAGCCCTGAGTGACCCCGGCACCGCCCAGCCACAAGGGGAGAGGGGACACTGACTAGGACAATCTCTAGCACTTCATTCTTGCTGATGGTCCCGTTGCCGTCCACGTCATAGAGGGAGAAGGCCCACTCCAGCTTCTGGTTGGTCTTGCCTGCGCTGGTCATATGCAGGGCGATGACATACTCCTTGAAGTCCAGGGTGCCATCGAGGTTGGAATCGAAGCTGCGGAACACATGCTGGGCGTAGGCCTTGGGGTCAGCGTCGGGGAAGAACTTGGCGTAGATGCTCTGGAACTGCTGCTGGGTGATACGGCCGCTGGGGCAGTCTCTCAGGAAGGACTGGTACCAGGTGCACAGCTCCTCCTCCGAGAACTTGGTGTTCAGCCGCAGCTCCTCCAGGATCTCCTTGGACAGGGCCCCACTTTTGCTGTTCCCCATGAGTGAGGAAGAGTGGGCAGCAGCTGGGGAGTCACTGGGTGGGTGGGACGTGTGTGGTGCCCTGGCTGCAGGCTGGGGCTCAGGTCTGCTGTGAGCTGAAGACAGAGATGCTGGTGGCTTAGGAGGATTTGAGACCAGTTCTTCCCAATCCTTGAAGGGAGGAGGGGCCCAGGAGCTTTGCGGAGGTGGTGGTTGTGGGGAGGGTGGCAAGGGGATGCTCCCAGAACCCTACTGAGATTAAAGCGAAGAGCCCAGGGCAGGCAGGCAATTCATCTCTGCCTCCTGGAAGGACACTAGAACAAAATAGGAGGTTGGAACTTTCAGAGCTGGGAGCTCTTGTACCACTAGCTCCAGCCCTGTAAGGCAACCACGTTCCCTGTTTCTCTTCCTTACTAACTCTGAGTGTCTCAGGGAGGGCTGGCACCCCCCACTGAGCCCTAGAATTCAGTGGTTAGGAGCACAGGCTCTGGAACCAACATGGGTTCAAATCCTAGCTTGGCTACTTAACTACCTATGTGACCCCAGGCATGTTTCCTAACCTCTTTCCACCTGGGACAGTCTTCTAATCCTTCACTGCAGTCACGTTTCTGCTTAAATGTCACCTTCCTGGCTAGGGCTATGTATACTGACCCTCTATCTATAACAGCACACCATCATCGGCATGCCCCATGTCCCCTCATCGGAATGAAAGCTCCTGAAAGACGAGTTTTTGTCTGCGTTGTTCCCAGATGCATTTCCATTGTCAGAACAGTGCCTGACAAGCTTGGGCCCCCAGTGAGCCTTTCTTGAATAAATGGGCATCATAGCGTCTACCTCACCATCATGGTGGGGCTGAAGTGAGTCAATACATGTGACACACTTAGAATAGAACCTGGCACACAGCTAATGCTAAACACTTACTTGTTTTCTTTCTGTTCATCAGTCACAGGGAGTGAAGGTAAACTCCCTGTGGGGGGTGGCCAGCAGGTGGGACAGCAGGGAGCCGCCAGGCCTGTGTCACCTCGGGAAGGGGCTGCCAGCAAATGTGGTCCCATGGGACCGTTAGATTTTATTTTTTAATGATTCAAGAGAAATCCAGAAATCATAATTTTAGATGCAATTTGCACACTTTTCAACTTTGGCAATTGATTGGAAATTTTCAAAAGCGCGATGTGGGCCAAACACAATCTATCTGCGGCTCCATGCCCGTCTGTAGCAGAGCACAGCGCTGGGAGTGAGCCGACAAGAAAATGTGTTTGCTGAGTGAATGGGTAAATCCCTGAGTGGCCCGAGACAGGGAGGTGTGTGAGGGCAGGCTTTGCATCCCAGGGGGAGTACGGAGCTCGAGAAAGCGCCCTAGTGAGGACGCTACACACCTGGATTCTTGTCACCCAGCGGGAAGGGAGTGTGGGCGTGCACTTTGCTTAGCAGAGAGCAATGCTTCGCAGGGGGTGAGGGAATGGGGGTGGGTGGGGACACACTCAGAACCCCAGCCTTGCCACTGTGGATGGAGAGTTGTCTCTTTTTGCCCATGAAGAATAAACCTTGCAGTCTCCAGGCAGGTAAAGTGTATTTTTTTTTTTTAGATATGAGTCTCCCTCCATTGTTTAGGCTGGAGTGCAGTGGTACGATCTCAGTTCACTGCAACCTCTGCCTCCTGGGTTCAAATAATTCTCCTGTCTCAGTCCCTGGAGAAGCTGGGACTACAGATGTCTGCCACCATGCTCACGCTCAGCTAAGTTTTTTCTTTTCTTTTCTTTTCTTTTTTTTCAGTAGAGTCGGGGGTTTCACCATATTGGTCAGGCTGGTCTCGAACTTCTGACCTCAGATGATCCACCTGCCTTGAATCTCAAGGTGTAAAGTGGGGTTTTTAGCCTACTTCCTAACAGCCTAGTGGCAGTGGAAGGTAGGTCCTTGCTGCTGGGAGAAAGCCACCTGCCAGGCCCAGCTGGTGTCGCTCAGAAAGGAATGAGAGGTTCAGGCACTGAGGCGCTGACTCATCCCTCCCAGCCACCCTGCTCACTGTAATTTCAGAAGTTTCTCAAGAAACCTGAATGTTGGCGGGGGTGGGGAAGGGTGCGTGTGTGTGAACTTTCTAATTTTTCCCACCACTTTGTGAGAGAATACAATTTAACAGGACTCCTTTCTCTCCTAGGCTTTCACCATCCTGCAGTGTGCATTTATTCTCAAGAGCAGTTAGAAACAGGACAGTCACCAATCTTGAAAACAAATGAACCAAGCGAGCCCAAGCCACACCATGGAATCGCATTCACTTCCAGAGCTTCCTTGCAGTCCTGAGGCAGCTCTGGGGATGCTGCAAGTGGGAGGCCACAGGAAGTGCTTCCTGGATCACACTCCTGTCCGCATCAAGCCTGCAGATGGCCAGGCCAGTGTGACAGGTGAGACGTGGATGCTCCTAAAGGCATGTCGCCAGTCCGGGGTCACATGTTGCTAAATGGGGATGCCAGGAGGAAGGAAAGCCCAGGCCTGCCACCTGTCTGGCTAGATTGTTGTCTGGGAAACAGGACAGGCAAAATCAAATGGCACACACAGCCTGCAGCCCTCAGTTTGAGACCCCGAACAAACTGACAGATCCCAGTTCCTTTTAGGTGGCTAGCTCACCTTTTAAGGAAAGGCGTGAAACTGCACGCTTCCTGGTGACGCCAACCATTTCTTGTCTGACTTTACATCAGAAGCCGTAGGCACATGAATGGATGGGTGAGTGGATGGGTCCCAGACATTCCTTGACTCTTCATTTTCACATTGCATGATAAAGACTGTAGGAGTCTAGGCCTGCACTGTCCAACACTGTTGTGGCTTCCTTTGTCTACACCACAGGAGGCCTGAGCCTAGAGGACAAGGAGGTGAGGAGCTGGGGTTGCCATGGCAATGAAAGAGGCCCTGGGCGAGGCGGAAGGCAGCCAGAGGCCGCCAGTCTTTGCTGTTCTCTCCTACCAGCCAGGCACAGGAGGAAGGAGCTGGACCCAAGTCAGAAGCAGCCTGGTACAGTCCACATTCCCCAGGTTGCTGTGCCCAGGAGGGGCCCCAGGAGACCGCAGGCAGCTGTGTTGATGCTGAGAGTGAGGGGTCATGTCCTGGAGGTTTGTTTGAAAACCTGTATAAACATCTTCTATCAGAGGGAAAGCTTATGTTCCTTAGCCAAACAAGTTGTTGGAGATGATGTATTGTGAGTGGATTTGTTAAGTCTGAGCTGAGGCCATAAACTCTCCCAAACCCCAAAGACTCCTCTTGAGAAGGCTTCTTCTCCAGGCAGATGATCCCAGTTCACGTCCTTGCTTTGCCTAGACTGAAAGATGCTTCCCAGAAGCTGGCTGGCCCTGTCAGCTCAAGCAGGAGCTTCATCTTGGCCATTAGCTGGGACCCAGACACCACCCCTTCCCCATTGCTCAACCTTGCGGGTATGAGCTGAGGGCCAAGGTGACTCTCCTGCCCTCTGGCCTGGTGCCAGCACCTACAGGGAAGCCTGCATCGAGAGGGAAAAGGGGGTATGGAAAAGGTGGCAGGGGAGAAAGAGAATGGGGAAAGACCCTCCTCCCTCAGCTGTCCCCATTGCAGAAAACGACAATCTGTCCTCTTGATGACTTAGATGGAGGCCCTTGGTGTCATCCATAGTGTTCCTCTTTTGGTCACAACCCACTCCAGTCTCTCAAGAAATCATCTTGACTCTACCTTCAAGGTGCATCCAGAACCTAACTGTTCTTCCCGCCTCCCTTGCACCGGCCTCATCTGCCTCTTAACAGTTCCTCCAGTTTCTGCTTGTCTCCTCACAGCCCCGCAGTGAGCCCCATAGCCACGAAATCAGGTCACGCACGACGGCTGCCCACTTCCCCCAGTCAAAGCCAAAAGCCTGCAACAGGCGGCACTGGCCCTCATCCCACCGTTTCTCACAGGTGCCAAGGAGGGATGAAACGGGGCGGGTGCCCTTTGTCTCCCAGCTAAGTCATCAGAGGTAAAATCACCACCAATCCCGAGAGCCTGGGAGGAACGCTGAGATGGCTCATAGAAGAAGGTGGCAGCCCTCCAGGAAAGAGGGTCACCCAGTGTCCTCATCTGCTGTCCCCTCCTCACTCTCTCCACTCCAGCCAGGCTGGGCTGGCCACAGACATGTGGGTATCTCCCCTCTGCTTGGGACATTTTCCTCCTGTGACTTTCCAGGGTCCCTCCCAGGTCTTTTTGTCTCTGATCAATTGCCACCTTCTCAAGGGTATCTCCTCTGCTTGGAACATTTGTTTTCAGTGACCTTCCAGGTTCCCTCCCAGATCTCCTTGTCTTTGATCAAATGCCACCGTCTCAATGATGCCACTCCAATGACCCTATTGAATATTGCAGTGTACTCACCCTCCCTCTGCCGTTTTTCTTTTCCACAACACTTAACACCGTCCACACTCATACCACAGAACGTAGTTCCTGAGTCTATTGTTTTTGTCTGCTAGAATGTAAGCTCCCTGAGAGCAGGACTCTGTTTCTCCCACTGATGTGTTCCCAGGACCTAGAGCAGTGTCCAGCATACACTGGATGCTCAGTAATTATTGAATGAATAAATGAATGGATGGGGCCGGGTGAGGTGGCTCACGCCTGTAATTCCAACACTTTGGGAGGCAGAGGAGGATGGATCACCTGAGGTCAGGAGTTAGAGACCTGCCTGGCCAACATGGTGAAATCCTGTCTTTACTAAAAATATACAAATTAGCTGGGCAAGGTGGTGCATGCCTGTAATCCCAGCTACTCAGGAAGCTGAGGCAAAAGAATCGCTTGAATCCAGGAGGCAGAGGTTGCAGTGAGACGAGATGGTGCCACTGCACTCCAGCCTGAGCGACAGAGTGAGACTGTCTCAAAAAAA